CAAAAACATGCACTTCACACTAAATGCAAGTACAATCAAAGGCTTTCCTTGACCTTTCACAATGTTAGAATCTTTTTACGATCGCTTCTTTTTGGACGTGTAGCAAAGAGTGATACCCTTGCGTCCAAGACACTTCCGGTCTGCCCTTCGGAAAGCGGAAACAAGCCACTGTTTTTGGAGAAGCCGAAGCAAAAACCGAGGATGCACCTCTTTGACCCTTTGGACCGAAGCTGTGGAGGGATTCTGGGGTCGGAATCAATTGATTGAATTCATGCGTCTGGCGTTGACCGCTGAGGCCGGCCATGCCTTCAGCTTCAGGGTGAATCATGTTACGACAGTGACGGGGAAGCTTTCGCGATGCAAGCTCGATGCTGGAACGCATGCCTTTGGTGTGGCACGCAGCCTGTCATCTACAGACATGCAGCTTGCCTTCTATGGCGCAGGACGGCGCAAGTTGTCCGAGCTGTTGAGTTTTGCAGATCACTTGGCCCAAGGCCGCCGGCTTGTTCCATGTCGTTGCAAGTGATAGGTTTTGGCTTGAGCACGTCCTGTGGCCGCTGCCTGTGCTCGAAAGATAATCGGGCGCAAAAACCAGGAGCAAGCGTGTCGACTGCACTGTGCCAGTTGTTCGAGCTGGCTTCGGCAAGAAGCCTTACCAGCTATTGCAAAGCCGAAATTGGCCGGGTGTAGACCATCCAAAGCACCATTGCCGTTCTGGAAGCTGCCTTCGCTTCAGATGCCCACTGGAAAGTGCTCTTGCCCTTTCACTCGAGAAGCAGGCTTTTGCTGCCCTCCGCGTCGCAAGCAGTTTGTTCATGAGCATTAGGCTCAAGTAGCAAGTCGTCACAAGCCAGCCAGCAGGTTTCCTGTACAGCTTTAGGCAAGATGCAGCTGAAGGGCAAGACACAAACGTGTGTCTTGCGCCTGCCATTTACGTTCTGTTTTCCTCCTGCGTCTGACACGTGTCTGGGCAGTAGCCAGGTTCGCCCCGTCACTGTGCGTCAAGATATGTTCCGACGCAGGGTGCAGCTGTGGCAAGCTGTCGGCCTCGACTTAAGTTGCCGTATCCGGAGTGCAAGGATGAGGGCTTCGTGGATGTGTACACCACAAGTCCGGATTCTGTTGTTGCTTTCGCGCAATTTACCTCGCAGGAGAAGGTGCAGAAGTTTGTACGTGCCCAGAAAAGACATGAGGGCATGCGACAACACAAACTTTGGGCAGCTGAAAACAAGTCCGCTTCCGAAAGAAAGCGGGGAAAGATTCTGAGCAAAATCAAAAAGTTTTCCATTGAGTTGGACAACATCGAGCCTCGTAATGTCTGGGTGAACTATCGAAGCTACAAGGTTTCCGTCCGACATGGTGGGCAGCTTGTTCACGCAGCATTCGTGGCAGAAGATGGTGTTGTTGAATGGTCAGCTCCAAATTGCCCAATGAGCCAGCAAGTTCGTGATGCCATCGCTGATTTTACAGAGGACTTGGAGTAGGATTCAGTCGTTTTTCAGAAGGCCCAACACGTCAAATTTTCTCGCACTGTGGCAGGGCACCATGGAGGGCTTGCCTCCTACAAGCGTGCAATGTTCACAGTTCACATGCATATTGCCACTAAGAATGTACAGAGCATGCGGGCTGCCACGCGGTTTGAGGATTGCCTAGCGGAGCTGGATGCCGGTGAGCACGATTTGGTTTTCATTTCCGAAACTTGGCGATCAGATTTGCATGAAGTTTTCGAGACGCCTTGCAAAAGCAAACTTTACCTCAGTGGTGGATTTGCATGCCATGGTGTCGGAATTTACATTTCTCCGGACTTTTGCAACTTGATTTCCGATATCCATTTCTTTGCGATATCTGCTCGATTGTGCATGGTGCAGTTTTCATTTCATGGCCGCAGATTTCATGCATATTCATGTTACTTTCCAACCAGCTGGGACCAACATGATGAAGTGGACGAGCTTTATGATGTCCTGGATTTGATGTTGGCTAACAGCAATACTTTTGCAGCCGTTTCAATACTGGGCGGGGATTTTAACGCTCACATCGGAGCGACGTTGCCACAAGATGATGTTGGATTGCTTGGTTCTTGGGGTTCCGGCATTCGGAATGAAAGGGGCACCAAGTTGACCAGATGGGTGCTGGAGCACCAGTTCCACATTGTTTGCCGACTTGCTGCAAGACTACCTGTGCAAGATAGTTGGAGCTGCAAACGAGCATTTGACGGCAGCCTCGTTCAAATCGATTTCCTCATTTGCGATGTGAGGTTGAGCCCAATTTTGACTTGGAACGATTTCTCTATCGCAACAGGGGTTGACCATCGTTGTGTACACTCATTGGTTGAAATGATTGTGTCCAAGCCTCTGCGGCGCCAGCGGCCTCACAAGGGATTGAAAGGGTGGCGGCCCATTTTGGATGATGCTCAAAATCCGAGCCAATATCATTCGCAGCCTGCGCTTTTGATTGACCAAAACCCCTCCCCGACCATAGGAACGATTGAGGCCATGTTGCACACAGCTGGTCTGCAGGCTGGTCATTGCAGTCGTGACCGTCCAAAAATTTCACCGTCACCTGAGTTGCAACAATTGCGTCAACAAAGACGTGACGCGCAAAACGGACATGATCGCAAATCTTTGAGTTTGGAATTTTTCCGGCTCCGCCGCCAGGAAGTACGTAGCTGGAAGACTTCGGTTTTGACACGGCTTTTGAACCGCGGTGCGAGTGGGGCAAGCGTACAACAGATGATGTCTTCGTTTGCTGGTTAAAAAACTGCCCCTCCAGCCTCCCCCAGATGAGTTTGCAGCTGATTTGGAAGCTCTTTTTGCAGGCAACCCGCCTTCACCCAGTAAACCTGCCGTTTTGGATGAGTTACCTTGGTCAATGGATGAGTTACAGAGTGCAATTTGCCGCTTGAAAGATGGGAAAGCAGCTGATGAAGACTTGCCACATGCATTGCAAAATGCCAATGGGAGCGTAGACAGACTTCTCCCCAAGTTGGGCGGCTTAAAGCCTCCCAATGATGTAATGCTTTCACATTCCACTGATGCAGTATTTGGTGCCACGGCATGTTCCAATCAATACCCGCAGGTGGGCCTACAATTCGACGCAAAAATTTTCTGAAAGCAACGTCGTACTGTCGAATGTCAGCTTGGAAGATAGCCCTGTGGCCCACCGCAAAACATGCCACAGGAGTAACCACTGCATCGAAAAACCGGAGTCGCTGTGTCAGAGAAATGTTTCGATCATACAGGACGTCCTTGTTTGCAAAGAATGCTCTGGATGCGGCCTGTCGGTTTGGTTATTGAATTACTCAAACATGCCCCTGAGGACGTCCTCACACTGGTGCTAGATTTGTTCAATTCGTTTTTGTCCCAGGGCAATGTCCCAGCAACTTGGCGGAAAACCATTTTCACTATGCTGGAAAAAAAACGAAAGCTGTTACTACTTTGGACTTCAGACCGATTGCCAATGTCCGAATGATGTACAAACTATTTGCCCGTATGGTCCTTGGGCGTGTTGAAGACGTGTTGGATGCTGCGCAACCTGAAGAGCAGCATGGTTTCAGACCTGGGCGCCGCATTGAAGAGCACCTGGTTACGGCTAACCTTGTGTTGGATAAGACACTGGCAGCAAACATCCCGCTTTGGATTGTAAGCGTCGATTTTTCCAAGGCGTTTGATCGAGTGGAATGGGTGATTCCAACATGAGTCGTTGGTTCAATATATTTGGCGGGGTTCGTCAAGGTTGCGTCCTGAGTCCACGATTGTTCTGCGCCGTTCTTCAAGCTGCGCTCGCAATTTGGAGGCAATCGGTCGAGTCTCTGGGTCTTGATTTTGGCGATGGGTTACCGGCATTGTTGGATCTCAGATTTGCTGACGACCTCTTGTTATTTGCGAAATCAGCGCGGGATGCCGCTGTTTTGTTAGATGAATTGGTACGATGTTGTTCGCTTGTTGGTTTATGCTTGAATGCGACGAAAACCAAAGTCCTGACCACTGAAGCACAAGCCCCTTCACGGCTGCTCACCCTTTCTGGCCATGTTGTTGACATCCTATCTCCAGATGACTCACATAAATGGTTGGGATGTATGTTGTCATGTCGACTACCCCGTGGAAGGTGGATAAAGCGGGCGCTGGAATGGCGGCCAATGGGGAGATTTGCTCCGGGTAGACCCCGCACCACGTGGACAACGTGCTTGGAAAAAATTGCACGCTTCAAGCGCTGGTGCGATTGGGCAACAGCAGCTTCACAAGGCCAAATGAGGTACCAAGCGCGAGATGAGTTCTGCCGGTTCGTCATGGGACAATGAATAGCAGAATCTTTGAGTGATGCGCACTGTTGCATTGTAGTTGCACACATGTTGTTCTCACCTGTACCCTCAAAGGGACGCCTTCGGGCGACCAGGGCTCGACTCGACTCCACTCGACTGCTCAGTTGACACGTGCCGTAGAACGCATTTTCCGGCTTTGTTTGGTCCTTTATTTCTACCCATTAAAATTGTGTAAGATAACCTTCTTGAAGCTACGGGTCCCCGTGACCAAGTGGAAGCGTTACCAGTCGCACAGCCGATCCTCATTGGATCATGTAAGAATTCGTTTCTTTCTTTTTGTTTCACGTTGTAGTCACTGGCCGCTGGACGGTTGTTTGAGGACTC